CAAGCAATATAATGGAGACCTATCCGAACACCAAAGTGTTTCTAACGAAGAAATAAGTCCCAGGGGATCTTGCAATTTCGGATCTCTCCTGTGAGCTCCAATGGATTTTGCAATCTCACAATAAATTTAAATTGAGGTTTAATGTTCTTGACTTGATTGTGCAGTAATGGAAGGGAGTGGTGGTTTTGGTAGCAAGGGCAGTGGCAGTAATGTGGAGATGCATGGTTGTTACACCGTGAAATGGGTTTTTGCTATTAAATTTCTTATTATTAGTTTATTTTATTAGTATTTCATAAATTTCACAAATTATCGATTACTACTAGCTAATGAATAAGGGTTCTTCATTCTCAAGTGCGAAATTGAAAGGGTAATGAAAATAGGGAGTCTTTATATATTCCATGGCAATATGAAGGGTTTAATTTTCTTTTTCAAGGATACATTGGTTAGTTTAACAAAAATAAGTACATATTGGTGGGGGAGTGTGGTTAAACATCTAAGGGAGTACAAATATCAGCTCCTCCCGATTGTAATCGCTAAAATAAAAATGCTTTCTAACTTCTTTTAAAACAAAAGTATTTTTTTAGATTTTGAAAAGTTTTAAAATAAAAAGTTAGCTCCATTAATCAATAAAAATGAGTGTTAATTAATTTTTATTTTTAAATTATTTAAAATATTAAAATATGGATATAATAGATTTACATATATTGGGCTAGTTAATCTCTAAAACAACAATAAAAACAAGAACATCTCTTTTTCATGGAAGATTTACATATGCCAATGCAAATAATTCTCATTAACCTGAAAAAAATAATAAAAAGATGCAATTTTTTTTCAATGGTGAAAATATCTTCGAACCCGCTTATGTATCAATCAAAAATAAATTTTTTATTGAACAATATTAGGGTGTACCTCCTATGTTGGCTTGCTACATTAAGAAAAAATTAATATATTTATTTTCAGATATTGACATAAAGATTTAAATTCAAACAATCTAAGAAATAGAGTAAACATTCATAACCAGTGCTATGCCACTTTTTTAAATTATGAAATTTGCAATAGAAGGTAAAAGCAACAACTATTTTATAAGAAAGTTTTTGTTATTTATTAAAAGTTTTAAGGGGAAAAAGGGAAAAAGTATATGCATATGTACTGTAAAAAAGAAAAAGAAAAAGAGTAGGTCTAGTATTTTCTAAGATATTATGTAATGGGTCTCTAATATATAGTAATGTCATATACAGTTGTGTTTTAATTGTGAAGAAATAAGCAGCCAAACTTAATTGCCCCGACCACTTAGTTTTCAAATATATATATATATATATATATATATATATAAGAACTAGAAGAAGGTACAAGAGTGAGCAACCTAGAATTAATGGACACAATATTATTAATGAAAACTCTCTTTGTCTGATACATTGTGCCTTATTTAATCGACACATGTCACATTATGTGTATAAATTTAAGTAAAATTGTAATATAATCATATGCTATTTAAAAAAAAATCTCAATTAAATTAGAATTAGACTAAATTTCTATTTAAACAATTAGATTTAGAATAATAAGACACACACATATATATATATCAATTTGTTTAAAACTTAGTCCCTCTGTCAATCTTATATTTTATATATATATATATATTGTTGTTGTTGTTGTTGTTATGAATAAAGAAAATAGAATTAGGTAAGAAATTTATGAAGTTGATTAAAAAATATGGTGTTTTTGGAATTAAAAAAAAAGATTAAATTAAGGATGAACTTGGTTAAGAGTTTTTATTTATTTATTTATTTAACATAGATACGATTATTGGTTAGTTGTTGCTCTAAGAGGGTATCTTCCAATAGGATATTAATATGACTACTATAGTAAATATGATGGGGGTAACATCAACTTTTCTCTTACATCAAGTGAAAACAAATTTAGTGTTTCCAACATAGCTAGAAATTGAACTTGTGACCTCTTAGTTAAAGAATTGCTTAATTGTTTTGATACTATAAGGAGTAATTATTTATTTTCAATAGACTAGAACAATAGCTTTAAAAAATTGGCTTGGTGGTTAAGGAGATTTATTTATTTTTATTTTTATTTTTTGACTTCTTAGATTTAAATCTTAAAATCAATTAAAATAGAACAATTAAGTTATAATTAGTTCTTGATGTTGGTAAGCAAGTTTCATCCATTTCCAAATATATATATATATATATATATATATATATATATATATATATATATATGGAGCAACAGAGAGTGATTCTTCACTTAATTCATTTAGGCCCATATAATTAACGGAATGCATCGCATGAGAAGTAGCCAACAGCCCATTTATTCTGTGGGTCTGTAGACTACGACCAATCCTGGGCTGCCGTATCAAGCTTTCCTCTTTGACCAATGGAGTTTTTCGTACATTCAAGCTTCACCAATTTCAATTAAAAAAAAAATCATAAGTCAGATTATTAATTAATTTGCAAGCTATACTTGTTGTTTTTCTCATAAGAATATTTACTTTATTTTATTTCAATATCATCAACAAACAATATCATTTTCATAATTATTCATTTAAAAGTCAGCTAAAAAAAATGTTCCAACAAAACCAACTTTCTTTTTTCTTTTTTTAGTTACTTCCGCTCCCAAGGGTTAGTTATGGCAATTATTTAGCAAAGAATAAATAATTTTACTAATTAATCTATCAGGTGTAACAGATTAGTGAGTAGACTTATTTTTCATATTATCATTTGAGGTTTGAATCTTATAAAAAAAATTATAGAAAAAATAATTTTTTTTAAGGAAGCATTAGTTGGATCGTGAATAGTCCGTTTAAGCTACCAACTAAAAAAATAAATAATTAAATAAACAAACAATCTCAATCCGTCAAAACTGATTAAAAAATACCATTCCAATTAAGAAAAAAATATATAACCAATTAAGCTACCAAATACATGCCTCGTCTATTTAGGGCAACCACTTCTTCACAAAAATATGAAATATAGCACCTGACCTGAGCAATCATTTCCTACCCACCCACTACATGTGGGTTAGGGACCTGACTACATCTAAATACTATAAAATATCTCTTCAGTCTTTTTTCATTAACTTCCTGACGGGCCAGCAGTGTCCAGTCACCTAAGCAAGAAGTTTGGCAATAAACTAGATTTGGTTGCTAGACAATCCACAATTGACATGAACTTACTTTGGTATTGGAAATTGCATGGAACCGCTGTAACTACCAACTGCTTTTCTTTTTGCAGTACCTAACTCCATGAACATTGAGATTAGATTTAGGAAAGTGGTTAAAATCACTTGCATAGTGCTATGGCCCCCTTTGATATAACTTGCATATGGTTGTCCCAACCAAGAACTCACACGCATCCTCCTGGGTTGGTGCCAACTCCCATTTTTCTACTGATAGCATTTGTCTTGTCGGCTTGTGACGGCCGGAGTAACGGGCCACGGTGACTGCTTCTTAGACTTCTCTGAAAAAAGTTAAGAGCTAAGGACGTTCGTGCCGTAATGGTATCTAGTTTAAACACTAGGAGTTGGAAGGGGATCGAGGAGGTGAAAACAGAATTAAGGACACTTTTTTTTTAATCTTTTTCGGTTTATTGAGATAACTATTGAGTAACTATGTTATAAATAAAAAAATAATATCAAATTTATATGAATAAAAAATATTGTAATCTAATTATTATTATTTTGATTATTACAATAGATTTTTATAAATAATTGATTTGGTTCATATGACAGATCTTTCGTAAAATAATTGTATTTGTCAAATTAGATAGTATGAAAAATTAATTATGTTATTGTCGGATCAAATTGCTTAGAACCTCTTTTAACTTATTTGGGGAAATGTCTTTTGCTTACAAAACACCCAAATTAATCATACACCATGTTTTTGCTCTTTGCCCTAATCCTAATCATCAAGTTGCTTTCCATAAATATCAAGCTGATTACTATAGGAATGATATGAACAACTCCACCTATGCAATCAAAAAGTATTACATCATTGTAGAAAAAGGGCAAACGATATTTTGTGGGAGCGATTATATATATATATGTTTTCCTTAATCATCGTACTTATTAACCTCTTATATGATGCCAAAAGGAAGATGTGATCAAATGAAATAGTGGCAGCAAACTCCCCACTTTATTTCAATTTGCATCTGACATAAAAAGATCATATAAATAAATAATTTATCATTGGTTGATTCCACCCTATAATATCTGGCTGTCTAATTAAGGGGATTAGGATTAGATTTGTTACTAAATGGAGTTGATAAAGTGCTTAATGATCAAGGTTAGGTAGGCAAAGTTGCTACAATTATAACGTGCTTTTTTACTTTCAATTTTTGTATCTTAGCATAATATCTCTTTGCGTCTTGAACCCTCCAAAGACTTCAGTCTTTTCATATAATTTAACCCTTTCTATCAAGTTCTCTTGATCTACACCAGTACAAAAAGGTCATGATCATGAGCAGCAAGCGTGAATTATTGTAGTAGCCAAAGATAAAGAACAAGAGTCAGGTAAGGCTGCTAATTTGCTGTATAGTAGCAATCTCAGTCATGTCTTTTGCTTTGTTGTTCGGTTTCGGTTTTAGGGAGAAATTATCTGAGCATATGTATGTGGAAGACAGGACCGTTTCTGATTAAGAAGCTGGGAATCTTGCTGCGAAAAAACAACGGTCCCCCTGATTCGGATAACAGCCACTTATCATAACCAAAACTTCACTTTGTTTATTTTTCTCCTTATCTTTGACACGAAGAAGATGCTCTTTCTATGTCTTTTTCTAGTTGGAATCTTTACAACATTACTGTAATGAACTCAATGAACCAACTGCGGACCGAATTTCTACTTTAGTTCAAGAAAATCTTTTCAAGCCTTCAGTATTTGTCTTCTCTTCTTTTGAGTCGTTTCCTTTCCTTCAACTAGCAAAGCAGATCCAAGTTTCAAGCTTTTATTAGTTGAAAAAAGGAGGGGAACTCTTATATTTTGCTACAAATTGATGGTCAATATGTATCGCCGCCTGCTTGATACAGTGCCGTTTAATGTGCCACCCACTAATGGGAACAGAACGCATGATTCGTATGTTAGCGAGACGAATTTCGACACCAACATGGTGATTATATTGGCAGCTTTGTTATGTGCCCTAGTAGGTGCACTGGGATTGAATTCAATCGTGCGTTGCGCTTTGCGTTGTAGTTCCAGGTTTGCCTTGGAGACACCAGAACAAGCTTCAGCACGTTTGGCAGCCACAGGACTCAAGAAACGCGATTTGCGCCAGATTCCAGTGGCAGTTTATGGAGCAGGAGGGCATATTGCAGCCACAGAATGCCCAATTTGCTTAGGAGAATTTGTTGTTGGAGAGAAAGTTCGGGTGCTTCCGAAATGCAATCATGGATTCCATGTCAGGTGCATAGACACATGGCTTTTGTCACACTCGTCGTGCCCAAATTGTCGGCATTCATTGCTTGAACCTGCCACAGATTCAAGTGCGGCTCAGGAAGTTACCGAACGAAGGCGGCCAGAGGAAAATGATCCTAGCCGGCAAGGTAGTGATGCTGTAGGTGTTTAAGGGCCTAGTTGACTATATCCAGAGGATGTCCAAACTCCAAAACCTGGTGGTTGATGTTAAATCTGCTTGTATCAGTAGTTAAAATATGTTTTACTAGAGTGTACAACTTGAGGCCAAAATTGCAAATGAGAAAGAATTTTGTTAGCAACTCCTTAGATTGTTAGTTCCTCAATTAATTAAAACGAATGGTGGTAGCAAGCTTCTAGTTGTTGGTTTTTCGCTTATGGTGTCAAAGCAATGCATGTGCGGAATGAATTCTAGATGTTACCATAATTAAGGCTGGTTCAACTTTGAACCATTATTTTCATGGTTCTACACTGTCATACTTATCTGACTTTATGACAGCAGAAATGTTTGGCATGGTAATTAAGCATTCTAGAAAACTGATTGATTTCTGCTCTGTTTGGTCATGGAGGATAGTGATCATATACTAACTTCAGAACCTTATGGCCGCTTAAAATTGGAATCGTGTGTGTCATCTGAGCAGCCAGGTGACTGTTAGATCCCCGAGAATCTGAGAGTGAGAAGATTAGAAAACCACAATGTAGGTTCATGCGTGTATATCACTGATTAATCTTTGGACCATCCTACTGTCAGCTTCGCCAATTTGTTGATTTCTTATTGTCCTGATCTAGTATCAACCAATTGGAAAGGTAGCAATGAATTATGGAAAAGCACGGAACAGACTAATCACGACTAATTGAGACTTGTGCAAGAAGAAAAGAGTCATTTTTGTGGTTGAAAAATGCAACGTTAATCAATGACCGCCTACCTTATTAATGCACAAACCTAACCTAACTTGGACCGACTCTTGTCTTACTCATAGTTTTAAGTAACCATCCTTACCTTATACAAAGATTGTTATATAATAGTTTCAAAATATTTTATTATTATTATTTTAGTATTATAGTAAATCGTAACTCTGCAATAATAACTTTGATCGTTGTTTAACCATCCGTGATTTAAAACTATAGTTTTAATTATGAAGTGATGGTATTTGTAGTTTGATAGAATGCTCTCTCTCTCTCTTTTCTTTTTTTTTCTTTTTTCTTTTTGACATTTATTGATATGTTCTATTGGTGGTTTAACTTCCATAGAAGAGTTTGTTTAATACATCACCAAATTATGTTTGTCGTTGGATGAATTGGATTTGGATCCTTTCAAAGGGAAGCTCAACAAGATAAAAAGAAGCTTACCGTCAAAGATTAGTTGTAAGTTTAGTATTGTCTGCTTTAGTATGTAAATAAGATTACCTTTTAGTCGTTCATTTGGAGTTTTATGGGATCTCAATTTCCTTTTGAATGAGATTTAAATTTATAAGAGAAAATAATAGAGAATAATATTAGGGAATAATTAGGATCATTCAATAGGAGATAAACAAGATTTTTTAAAGATCTCAATTACAAAAATTAAGAAAACTCAAATATTCTCTAAGTAATTATCTTAATTATTTGTTTTGATTTATTTTCATAATCTCTAATTATTATAAGAAAACCAGAAATAAGTGAGGTTTTTACTATTTATCTATACTCATTACTATTCATTCACTACTTATCCACACACATAAGCACTATTTATTTGGTATTATTGCGATTTTTGACTTTTGTTTAAGTTTTTAAAATAATTTTTATTATTCATCCGCACTCATATTGCTATTTATTTATTGTTCATCCACACTTGTAAGCAATATTCACTTAACATTATGATTTTTGGTCTTGTTTCGGTATTCGACATGATTTTTTTTTTTTATGCATTTGTTATGTAAGTTTTAACAAATATTGCACTTTGATTTTTATTTTGCTCTTAAAGCTTTTGTTTTAGTTTTCAATTTCATTTATATAGTGTGTGGGTCCCTATGTGTAACCAAAAAGAGAGAAAAGGAGAAAGAGAGAAACCCACAATAAGGCCTATTTTGGCCATTTCAACTATCAATCTTGACTTCGGTTCGTTCATTTACGAAAGAGTTTCTTTCTAATAGTCTCAATACATGAAATAGTTGGAAGAAAGAGATCAAACTTCCAAAATATTTTGAGTTTTTTAGATGCATTAAAATGAATTTTAAGGTTCCAAACAAGTTTTTTGAGCTATTTTTAGTAATTGTGACCTATTTGGACGTAAAATGATGTAAAATTAAATTTAGAAGACTAAAATGTAGCACACTAATTTCCAACTAGATTTCTAGTGATCATTGTTTCATCGAAGTTAGAGGCGACTAATGTGTTCTCTTCCGCCCATTATGCAACCAAAACATCTTCTCGCTATTTTCCTTTTTTTAAAAAAAAAAACCCTAGCCTACAAGTGTCCACTCGTGCGCGCATGGGCGTGGTTCTCTAGGCCTAAAGGTGTAGGCTTGGTACATTCAAGTTTAATCTTCTTCTTCTTGTTGTTTTTTTTGGGTCATTTTTTATTACTTGATTTTGTTCTTAAATTTTGAAAAACTTGTAGTTATTTTTAAGTTTTCCACAACCCAATGAGAAAGAAATATTAAGTTTTTATATTTTAGACTCAATATGTATTTTAAATTATATTACTCTTATTATTTAAAATTATCCCTTTAATTTGTCATTTTTATAAAAATTATCATCCAATTAATTTTTTGTTTTATTTTTCATTAAATTTTATGTATTTATAAATATAAGTTTTTTTTTCTCTATGTATGAATTTTGAAAGAATTTTATGGACATGGTCATTTTCTTTTATTAAAAGAAATAAATAAACATAGTTTATATGATGGATTCTTATAATTTTTAAATGAGATCATCATGATTCCATATATATATTTGATCTAAAGGCTGGAAATGTATTACATAAATTTTTTCTCAAGTTTTTGAAAAAAATATAATTTTAAAAATAATTAATTGATAAATAAAAGTAAAGAAGTGAAAAAAAAGGAAGTAATCGTTAGACGTGCGAGGCCTATGCATAGAGACCAAGCATGTATGATTTAGAATGAAAAATATCTATTAAGAAGAAAAATAAAATAGAATCTACATATTTTATTTACTTCTTTTTTATATAATTAAAATTTATCGAAATCAATTTTATATGGATTTTATTATAAATTAACTATGCATATACCCACAAAACATCGAACATTTACTTTTTTTTAATAAAAAATACATTTTTTGAAATCATTTTTTCTCAAATAAAATAATTAAAATTATGTTTTTAACAAACACTTAATGGTACCATACTTTTTAAATAGAGTTTTTGATGCAAATATTATTAAGTATTTTAGGAATATATATATATATATTTGGTGAATAATTTATATAACTTTTATTCCTTTTTATATTAAACTTATTAATACATTATGTGATTTATTAGGTTGATTAAGGATAATATGATGTTTATTGGTTTTGCAAGAAAATAGCAACAAAAGCTACTAAGTTCGACCTAAATACATGATGGATACCAAGTCCATTAAAGCTCATTCCTCCAAAGAACACACATATTTAGGAGAAGAAGTTTCTACTTGTGTGTCTTCGCTGCCAAAGGAGATACACGATCGTATGTCTTTCATTCTCAAGTTTACGCCTATGTGTGTGATGAAGCGAGTAAAGACACACGGGTCGTGTGTCTAACTCTTGCCAAAGATTTTTCCCATGTGTCATAACACATATGGTCGTGTTTGTTTTTCCTAACATAACACATTATGTAATTTTTGCCTATATATTTAGGTTAGAGGGGAGGTGGTAGGGATAGGGAATTTTGGGTAAAAAATAGATTTATTTCATTATTTTGTTCGATTAGCATGTGTAGCTAAATCATTTGTATTGGTTCAAGAGAATTCGAAGCTCTAATAGCATATCAATGGTGTAATCCGAGTAATGTTATTCTTCTCCTTTCTTTAATAAAATTGATTAGGTTATTCAAATTTATGTAATTTATGATTTCTATTTGATTGATTTGGTTTAGCCAACTAGATTGATTTTAAAAAAGTTTCTATGACAAGATCTAGAAACTATGATATGTTTAATTGTCTTTTTTCCAATCACTTAGTAGTAAATAGTGGTAGATGATTATGGGCAAGTTTTTGTCTTCACCACTATGAATAATATAACCTAGGTTAAATAACCCGAGCTTGTGAGATTATTACATAGATTGATCTATTTTCCTAGTTCGTAAAATTGATGTGCATTAAATCTAAAAAGCTTACTCTAGGTTGTGTTACTGTTAGCATCCAATTAAAGAGCTTATTTTAGTTGGTTATACTTAAGGAAAAATTCGGATAATAGAGCTTATTGTTATCTAGGATCAATAATTTCATAAGAGAAGTCAAATAGTCTGCTGTGGTTATATTTATTGAGTGCTAGAGTGGATATTGAACCAAGAACCAATTATTATCTCCATTGTTATTAATCTATTCTACCTACTATAATTATTTGTTCATTAAAGCATTAAAAAACCAAACCCGTTTTTTTTTAAATCACTTAGATAATTGATAAATGGTCTGAACCAATTCTCCGTGGGATCGACCCTTATTTACCCTAGCCACATTTTAATAATTAGTTCTAGTAAGAAAACAACTAGATTATTTTGGAGCATTCGACAAACTACCAATATGTGTGTGTGCACGCATGCAATATTTTTATGTTAATTATTGCTTTATTTTTTGATGCAATCTTATATATATATAAAAAATTATTTGTATATATTTTTTCAATTTGATATCAATTGAAACTTGCTCTTTAGATTATTATAAATTTTTATTTAAGAATCCATGCATAAAGAAAAACAACTTATATTTTTCTTAGAAGGTAATCTATTATAAACAACTCATGTTATACTTAAAGAATAAAATTCTAACAAATATGAAAAAATTAACAATTGATGAAGTAAAAATAGCAAAGAGTTAACACTAATGGGCAACAATTACGGTAGTTGTAAAAGAACATGGAACATTGCAACACAAGTGTAGGTAAATAAAAAAGAATGTAGAGCATTGCAAGATAGTGTGGGTAAGTGTAAAAAAACATAGAACATTACAAAGGAATATG